AATACCCAAGACCTGTATTTTGGTTTATTCAGATTTTTATGTCCTTTAAACAAACCTTGTAGGTCGTTATGACCTGTTTAAGAGGATGAGATGACTACTTACAAAGATGACAATTCTTCTGAAGTATATAAATTTAATGCAATCTCAAAGTTCTTGAACTTTTTGAAAGACTTGATAACTTTTTACATAAAGCTACAAAATGACTAAGTCAACTTCGAAAAATAAGAGCAGAGTAGGCGCTATTAAGACATTCTATAAGGCCACAGAACACTCAGGTTCTGTACAAGAATAGCAAAAAGACCAATGCAACAAATCAGACCACTCAAGACAGATTCATGTACATGAGGGAACTTGAGATGAGATGAGGTACCACAAATCAATAAAGAAAGAATGACCTATTTTGGGGGTGATACTAGGAACACTGCCCACTATATGGAGGAAAATAAAACCAGAACCTACATTATAACATATTTAAAAGTGGACTCTAGATGGATTTAAAGACCTGAATGCAAAAGGTAAATAAAGTTAGGGATCTAGAGATAAGAATAGAGATTTTTCAAAGGACAGATTTTAAGACAAAAAAAGTGATGAATTTCAGCACACCAAAATTAAGAACAGGTATCCACCCTTGAGAGAATTATTAAATAAGAGGCAGCAGACACACCCACCCCATGGTGTCCCTGGGACCAGTTAGAAGCAAAGCACTAACATACACGTGGCAATACAGACAGATCTTTAAAATGCAGTGCTGAGTAATATAAAGCTCAGGAAACAGAATGAAGACTGTAACATTCTGCCATTTCTGTAAATTGAAAACACTCCAAACAATACCACATATTTTAGAAGGATACATTTCAAAGACAACAGAGCAGCTGCCTACAGCTATGGGAATTGCAAATAAAACAGGAAAAAATAAATATGGCAAGAGGCGGTCTTGTACCAACCTGTGATAGAAACGTACCTTGAACTGGAAAAGTATGATTAATTCAAACCCTTGTACCTGAGGTTCTTCAAAAGCCAAAAGAAAGCCAGTGGCTTTACCTCGTAATGAAGCCTGAGGCAAGTAAGCTACCTACTCAAAGTCAGAAATTGCCACACAGCACTTCTACTGAATACCATCCAAAATCGAATGCCTTTCACAAGACATTTTGAAAGGTCAAGGCTGAATAACTAACACCTGATGATAACCACATTTCAAATTCGGGCTCATCACTTTTCAGAAACCAAAACATTATAATTCTACATTTTTCAAAAGCGGGTGGTAGCAGAAACCCTTTGCAAGGCAATAAAAAATTATTTCCTCCTTGACTTTTTCATAAATCTATTGACTTTTGATAGAGGCTTTCTGGGACGGTTAGGTCTACTTTTCTATACAATCTTTAAATGTCAGGAATGAATCATTTACATTAGAATCAAGTAAGGTGATCCACCAGTATGGTAAGGGTATGGTCTAGGATCTCTGTATTTTACCAAGTGTCCCAACTGTTTCTGGTTAGTCCCAGAGTTTAAAAATAACTGGATAAGAGTGTCCACACAAACTTCAGCCCATCCTGTCCCTGAATCCTAGATCTTAAAAAGGCCGTGGTTGAGTAACACTATCTGACCTGGTTTGCCCCATACATTTTCTGGGCAAATTTCTGACTCTGAAGGCAAACCACCCACGATCCATTCTTCACACCCAAAGCTACAGCCCACACCTCTCCCCTGAGAATCCACAGGCACTTACAACCCAACAACTGCCCACCTGTCACCCATCTTTGTCTGTCCTGCGATGGCTGTCCATACCATCCATACCCACCTGGCTCATCCAAAGTGGAAACCTGGGCATCAGTCTCCATGCCTCCCTTTCTCTTGATCCCTTCCCGCCCTGCAACCACACGTGGCACCTATCAACCAGAAACTGTGTGGTTTCCCTTGTGAGACCCTAAGTGAGGAGAAGGCTGCAATCTTAATTGTCTCGTTTATCAATGCACTCCCAGAACCCAGTACACATCCTGGCTCTTGAGTGCCAAGTACATGTTTGCTGAAAAGAAACCAATCATCTGCAGCACTGTTTGGCTTTTTCCTGCCCAGATGCTCCCTCCAAGCACCTTCCTGGGTCGATTCTCACACAGGGATAAACCTAAGCTGCTTGGGAGAGGGTGGGGGTTAGCGGGGAACTCACCGTCTTTCATACTCCATGTCCTGACAGGGCCTGCGAGGGCTGCTGGGGCCCCTCCTCAGCCGCTGGCTGCGTTTCACTTCCCAGCCACCCCCAGTGTTGCCACCATGATCTGCCAGCCTGGGTGATGCCTCCTGCAGGGACTCTTGGGACAGCAGAAGGAAGAAAGAGGTCAGGGCAGTTGCGGCAGAGAGGGTCTCCTTGAGAAACGCTTGGTGCCAAGGCTCTCTGCTGTCCCCAAGCCCAGCAACGCTGTATCCCAATTCCTAGGGCTCCTGAGGATTGGAGCAGGAAGGCAACCCTTATTTGGCCTGCTGCTTCCCTTCCCTACAAACGCGAGGCTAGAGCCGGCCGCCCTGGAAACAGCATGGCCCTTGGCAGGCACGGAGCATCTTGCAGAGAGACCTGGTGGTGCCACCCATCCTGGGATCACAGCTTTGCCATCTGAGACTGGTAGACAAGCTCAAGCCTGGAGCTACTTGCCCAGGGGGGCTCTTGGTGCTGGATGACTTGTCTGAGATTGGGCACAGTAGGCACGGAGGCAAGTTTTCATGACAGGAGTCCCAGGCACCCACCAGGCTCCTTCTATGAGCTGCCAGGTGCCATTTCATCCTCCCAAGAAGATGCTTGCTGCCCACTATGAGATGGCAGGAGACCATGAAAGGCTCCAGGGGTAAAGGGGCGAACTTGGCAATGAGACAGCTGCTGCCTCCCTAGACTCTGAGCCAACACAGTTTTGGCCCTCACTCGGCAACTGGCTAGGGCCTGAGCCTGTCTCTTATGCACAGCCAGGTTCCCCAAGACGGCTCCCTACCCACGGCTCTGGGCCCAAGTTATTCAGAGGTTAAAAGCAGCCCTTTGGGAGCCTGTTTTGAAGCACCGTGTTATCCTGCTGGAATGGGAAAGCAGTCACTTCATGGCAACCCTCAGGGCCACGGTGAGAACTAAGGAGGGCCAAGAGCCATGTGACCAGGCCAGGGGTCACCACAAAGTATCCCTGAATCTTCAGGCCCCACCCTCTGAACAACAATCAAGCAAAAGTCAGTCGTTAACAGCACCTGCCCAACACTAGGTTGCCACCACACCTTTCCTCCATGTATACACTCCCACCAATTTTCTCTTCCTCCTCAAGTCTTAGGGAATGAGAGTAACCTGCTCCCAGATGGGTAAGACTTAGAATCACAACCAGGGAACCCAGTGGATGAGAGCCAGAGACAAAACCCTCAGTACATCTGGCAAAGGCATCCATAACAGATAGGGACCCAAGTCACAGGCTCGAGCCCCAAAGAACTACAGGCCAAAACCACGGACAGGAACCCACAATAAATACGGGCCATAATCACACAGGCCCCCTTTCACAGAATAAGCATCAGAGTAACAGATACGAACCTCCCCTCCTCCCCAAAAAAGGAGCAGTCAAGTCTTACACACCTTTCTTGCACTTCCCGCCCCCACCCAGTAAATGGATTATGGCCAGTCCTAATAAGACTTTCTATGGGTAAGGACCCCCTCCCCATGGATAAAGACCAGAGTTACAGACAGAGGTTCCAAGGACAGAGACCGGAGTCAGACCGACGATCTCCCTTCTCCTCCACCCAAGAATAAGGACCAGAGCCACAGAACACTTCCCCATGGGTTGGTTAGTACCAAAGTCACACACGAAAGCAGAGAGCACACTTTTTCAGCTAAAAAGAAAAGTCGCAGACAGCGGCCTCCCACGGAAAAAGTTCGGCCTCACAGACACAGTGAGCCATAGGAGCCCACTCCCATCCGTCCCTCCCTTCCCCCAACCCGCGTGCACCCATCCAGTGCCCCAATCGCGCACGCGCCTCTGCTCTCAAAAGGAGAAAAACAAAAAACAACAAAAAAAGACACCCTCTCCCAGGCTCAGACTGTGCCAAGCATTGGTCAGTTCTGCGCGAAGCACAGACCCGTCGACCACAGTTCGCCCTCGCGGTTCCTCTATGCAACCCCCTCCACCCCCGGCCCCTTACCTCCGCCCCCACGACCAGCGTCGACGCTCACCTTCTCCGCCCGGACTGTCAAGGGAGGGCTCCCGGACATCACCTCTGCCCGCCGCCACCTCCTCCAACTCTCCCAGCTCTGCCCGAGCCGGTCCGTGCAACTACCAAGTCCGAAGCTGGAGGCGAAAGGGCGGGGGAGGGGGAGGGGAAAAGCGCCAGGCGCGCTGCCCTCCCCGGGAAACCCACTGCCACCTACTCCCAGCCGGCCGCGATCACCAGCACAAAATGGCGACGACGAGAAAGGAACCGGCGCTTCGACCACCATCCACCTACTGAGGGAGCGCGCTCTGGCCAACCCCGTCTATTGGTCGCTGTCCGCCCTCGGTCATCCTTGGCCTACTCTGATTGGCAAGCTTATTGCCACCTCCCCACTCCCTTGCGAAAGCCTGCAAGTCGAGAAAAGCGGTAGCTATTGGCCAATCCGACGAAGCTGGCGTTTTAGAAGCTTGGCTTCCTTCGGAGATGAAAGACAAATGGAAGCTCCGCCCCCTTTCGCTGGAGGGCGAGGCAGCTCTCCGCGCGATTGGTTAGGGACATCCACGCAAGTGTCATTGCTTTCTTTTCGTCATGTAAGTTCCACAGCCTAGCGGTCAGAAGTTCCATAGTCTGACTGAGGAATAAGAAGGTGGTTGCTTGACTGTGGTCATGACAGAGTGAGGCTAAGAGGACCTCTCGCCCATTCGAAAGCAAAGTCCTGATTCAGGACCTATTTAGTGTGGCGGGGGCGGAGCGACAACTCTCGCCCTCAGGCCAACTGCAGCTGCGCAGAGTCTCACTTCCTTCCCCGACCCTGAGAACTTGCAGAACGATCTGTTATGGCGGCTGGGATGTTGGGTTTGTGCGGCCGCCGCCTTTTGGCAGTAGCGGCGATGCGAGGGCTCCCGGCTGCCCGTGTTCGCTGGGAATCCGGCTCCTCCAGGGCTGTAATCGCCCCGTCCACTCTGGCGGGAAAGCGGCCGTTAGAACCGACTATACGCTGGCAAGAGGACCCAGACCCCGAGGACGAAAACCTCTATGAGAAGGTGAGAGGGAGGGGAAACGGGACGCCGGAAGGGTCAATCGGGGACCGGCGGATAGGGCGCCGTAGAGGACGGTCTTGGTCAGCTGGGAATTGCGCAGCTGGCGAAATCTTCGAAGATTTGGAAATTCTGCTTAGCTTGTTTCCTCCTTTGTATGGGTTCAGGGTCAGAGATTGGCTTTATTTTGCAGACAGACATCAAACCTGAAGTGGGCAATGTTCAAAGCACGTTTGTAGCAATATAGAATAACAACAATGTTACTAAACACTGGTGTGGTGCTTGCTCAGGTGTTTGAAACACTTTACATACATTAACTCATTTAGTTCTCATAGTAACCGTATTTCGAGGTAGGTGGTTTTGGTGTACCCATTCTACAGATGAGGAAACTGAAGCATGAAGATGTTAAGTGACTTGCCTAAGCTCACATAACTGAATGTGTGGTAGAAACAGGTTTGCTGTGCTATCTGATAGCGGACTGAAATTAGAATGCCTTAGTTGGAATACAGGCATTGACCTTGGGCAAGTAGCTTAAGCCCTTGATGCTTCAGTTTCTTTGTAAGATGGGGAAAGTATTAGGACATTTTCTAAAAGAATAAAATGCTACATGTGCCTCTGGTATTTAAATGAGTCAAAATGCTCAAAACAGCAGCTGGCACTTAGTAAATACTCTCCATTAGAAGGTGTTCTTTTTTTTTTTTTTTTGCCACTTTCCACCTCACTGGGATATTGTGCAACTTGTGCTTGCGAAAAAACCTGGCATATAATAGATGCTTCATCCATACTGACCTCTTGTTGAGGGGCTTGGGTATATAGGATATTCATTCATGCATTCTGTAGCTATGTATTGAGGGCCTGCTGTATGCCAGGCTAAGTTCAGGGTGTTATGAATTCAGCAGTATAGAAATCAGATAAAGCCCTTGCTTTCATAGAGCTTACATGGTAGTGGAGAATACAGAAAATAAACATGTAAAATACTAGTAAACAGTAAGATAGGGTATGCAACCAATAATATAATGTGATCAGAGTATTTGAAGGATATGCTACTTTGGTAAACTAATAAATGCTTGAAAGAAAGTTAAATAAGATGAGTGGATGCAGAGTGACTTGGGGGTAGGGAGTTATGAGGTTGAGCCATAGGAAATAGCGAATATCAATCATTTTTGACCTGTAAAAATGTCAATTTCCTATAGGTCAACTTAATAGATAAGGTGACTAGGGAGTGCCTCCTAAGGGGAATGGAGCCAAATAAGGAGACAGATCCAGCCCGGACTAAATCTGGGGGAAAGGCTATCCAGACAGAAGAAACAGCAAGTTCAAAGGCTCTGTGGTGGGAAGGAGCTTGACAAGTCCTAAGAACAGACAGGAATTTAGGGAGGGAGGAGAGATTGGTCCAAGGTAAAGTTGGAGACCAAGTTATACAGGACCAGCATCGGGCTTTGTGGAGCAGCAGGAAGCCCTCGTTGACTTCTCTCTGCCGTAGAACCCAGACTCTCACGGTTATGACAAGGACCCTGCTGTGGACGTCTGGAACATGAGGGTTGTCTTCTTCTTCGGATTCTCCATCGTCTTGGTCCTTGGCAGCACCTTTGTGGCTTATCTGCCTGACTACAGGTACGTGGGGTATCCAAGAGAGTGGGATGGGTGGGGATAGAGGCAAGGGTGGAGACTGAAGGAGACCACCAGGAGTCCATTCCCTGGGGAATTAAGATGGGGATTGATGTCCACTGAGGCTCCCTCACGTCTTCCCCCATGCTGCTCCCTCCAGGATGCAGGAATGGGCCCGCCGGGAAGCTGAGAGGCTTGTGAAATACCGAGAGGCCCATGGCCTCCCCATCATGGAATCCAACTGCTTTGACCCCAGCAAGATCCAGCTGCCAGAGGATGAGGACTAACTGGTTGCCAAAAGAGGCATAAGAAGCACCACCTTCTCTACCCTGCCTGCCATTCTGCCTTCTCCTCAGAGCCCCTAATTAAAGGGACTGAAAGTGTGACTGGCTGGTGTGGCTTCTGTTGTGAGAGGGATGCGGGAGTGGGGGCGTCGGAGTAGGGGTGCCTTTTCTGGGTATTCTGGTTGTCTGTTGCCATGTGACAAACACCCTAAAACTTAGTGGCTTAAAACAATTTAGTATTATGTTTCATGGTCCTATGGTTGACTGGGCTCAATGAGGTGGTCCTTCTTGAAGACTTGGGTGGTTGCAGTCAGATGGTGGCTGGGTCTGGAATCATAGGAAGGCTCAACTGGGTTGAACACCCAAGATGGCTTCTTTATTTCCATGTTTGGTACTTGAGTCTTCTATGTGGCTTCTCTCTCCAGCAGAATAGCCTGGGTTTTTTGTACGGCGGCTCAGGCCTCCTCTGCATCAAGGTGTAGCACATGAGAAGAAATGGACAGCAGCCATCTTTAGAAAAAAAGCTACCACACTGGGACTGCATATGTTGGAAGAAGGGCCAGGGTGACCAGGGATTGAGGGTGGTGGCTCAGAGCTGGGATTTTCTGTTGCTGAGGATGAGTGTTTGTCTCCCTCCCTACCTTCTTCTCTGTTTTTCTCAGTGCTGGAGTTTTTACCTCTGCCTTGTGTCTTGGTGAATCTGGATGCCTCTCTCTTCCCCTGTGTCCCAATCTGAGTGTTCTCTGACTCAGGATGCACATCTCTCTTGTCTGTGCATGTGTGTCTATTTCTCTCCCTGCCCCCTTATCTGTTTCTGTCTTTCTCTGTCTCTCTTTTGAGCAGGAAGTCTCTCCCAACCACCTTTCCCCCAAACATTCTTTTTTCTGGGAGTAGGCCATCTGCTTGCATCAGGGACTCATTCTCAGACTCTCTCTGGATCTGGAAGATGGAGTTGGACACTTGCTCTCTTTATTTCTTTCTGGGGAATGTCTCCTAAGATCCCTGTTAACTCGGCATCTGGACTCCACTTCATGCTCCTGGCATCTCTGCCCTCTTCTCCATGGCCCCCTTCCACAGCTCCAGCTTGCAGATTCCCACATCATGCACTCATTGCTCCCATCTCTGTGAGTGTCCCTGCCTGGGACATCAGAAAGTACAAGAGCCCCTAGTCACTGGCTATTGGAAGAACATCTGGCCTAATGAACCCTCCACTACAGGTGATGCGTATCCCTAACTTTTGAGTCGAGAGGAGTCTTAGTTCACTTGTATGTGGCTAAGGTGAGAGCAATGTCCATTTGAGCCTTCCTGGAACTGAGCAGTGTCATTCCCTGAGTGCTCCCCTGTGGGGCCAGTCTCCCAACTTGAGGACAGCTCCAGAGCAGACAGTACTAGTGTGTAAAGGGAGCACTCCCACTACTGGACATATACTCTGAGAAAACCACAGTTCAAAACGACGTATGTATCCCAATGTTCATAGCAGCATTATTTACAATAGCCTGTACATGGAAGCAACCTAGATGTCCATTGACAGATGAATGGATAAAGATAATACCACACATACACAATGGAATATTATTCAGCCATAAAAAGGAACAAATTTAAGACAGTTGTAGTGAGGTGGATGAACCTAGAGCCTGTTATACAGAATAAAGTAAGTCAGAAAGAGAAAAACAAATACCATATATTAACACATATATACGGAAGCTAGAAAAATGGTACTGATGAACCTATTTGCAGGAAAGGAATGGAGATGCAGAAGTAGAGGATGGTCTTGTGGGCACAGCAGGGGAAGGAGAGGGTAGGACAAATTGAGAAAGTGACATTGACATATATATACGATCAAGTATAAAATAGATAACTAGTGGGAAGCTGCTATATAACACATGGAGCCCAGTCTGGCACCCTGTGATGACCTAAAGGGGTGAGATGGGAGATATCTATATCTATATCTATATATCTATTTATGTATAAATAGATATATAATCTATTTATGTATAAATAGATATATAATCTTTATATATAGAGATCTATAAATATTTATATATATATATATATATAAAATTATGACTGATCCTTACTGGTGTATGGCAGAAACCAACACACCATTGTAAAGCAAAGATCCTCCAGTTAAAAATAATAAAAAAAGGAGAATGTGAAACAAATGCCAAAAGCTCCCTTCAGGTCCAATCTTCCACCCCAAGGGTAATCACTTTCTGGACTTCTAACAACTTTTTATCTTAATGATGTTTGCACGATGGATCCATGTTGTTATGGAACTTGTAGTTTGCCCATGTTCACTGCTGTATTCTCTTCCATTGCTATGAGTAGATCACACTTCATCTATTACGTTGTTGATAGGCATTTGGGTAATTTTCTATTTGGGGCTATTAAGAATAATTCTTCTGTGAACATTCTTGTATATATCTTCTGATGGATATATGCAGTCATTTCTCTTGGGCATATACCCAAGAATGCAATTGTTCAATCATGGGAGTAGACATATGGTCAGCTGTGTAAATCATGCCAGTTCTCCAATCTATGCTTCCCCAGTGGTGAATGCTACGTTCTCAACATCACATGGCACTCCCCACCTGTTTCATCATAGCCATGCTGATTACTGACTGACCTTTTATGGACCACATTGGGATGAAGGGCTGGGAGTTGAATCCTACTGTGTGCCAAGCCCTGACAGGGCGCCAGGAATGACAGATACCAGGATCCCTGTCCTCGGGAATTTCACAGGGTTGGGGTGGAGTCCAGTGTGAGTAGTCAGAGACTTAAAGTCAATGTTTTCATCCTGCTGTTTGGCCCCAAGGATATCTGAACCTTGGTATTTGGGGTCCAGCTTTGCTCCAGCAACATAACAGGTAACAAGCACCTTCATCCTTCAATCTAGGGGAGCATTTATTATGGGCAAGTCCCAGTGAACAGGATGGTCAGTCCCTGTGGCAGACACTGTCAGTTCCCTGCCCATAACCCTGTGACCTCACTGCTTCAGCGTGTGCTGGCCAACTGGCAACTGCCTGGGTTTGCATCTCTTGGCTAGAGGGCTTCCTCTCAAACTGCAGAAGGCTGTTCTGCCTCCGGGTCTGGCAGGCTGGAAGGGGCCAGGAAATGAACACCTCCTGGCGGCAACCCTCAGCCAGTGACTGACAAGAGCTGGTAGATAAATACCCCTTCCCCCTTGCCCCTCAGATGGGACATGCCTGAGGTCTATGTTCTCCATCAGTCCTTAGAACTCCACAGTGGGAACAAGGCCCAGTGCTGAGTCACTTAGTAACACTCTTCATTGACTGCCCTTCCTTTGTCTCACTTCCTCACTTCCCACTGCCCAACAGGTGCTTCCTGACTTCAATCTTTGTCTCAGGGTCAGCTTCCAGAGGGACACAAACGAAGACAGTCTCTGTCCTCATGGACTTTACCTCAAGGTCGTGGGTAAGACTGAAGTAAACAAGCATGGACACCAACAGAGGAGATAAATTCCACCAGAAGGCCAGTGTGGCTGGAATATTGTGCTTATTAGAGTCACTGGAATCTTCCTGTAGAAGAATAGTTACAGATGGAAAAAAAAAGAATAGTTACAGATGAGATTATAGAGGTGGTGACAGTCTATCCTCTGTCATCCCTCCAATATTTTGGCCACCTGATGTGAAGAACTGACTCATTAGAAAACACCCTGATGCTAGGAAAGATTGAAGGCAGGAGGAGAATGGGATGACAGAGGATAAGATATATGTGTATATGTATATGGCTGGGAAAGATTGAAGACAAAAGAAGTTGGCAGCAGAGGATGAGGTGGTTAGATGGCATCACCAACTCAATGGATATGAGTTTGAGGTAACTCCAGGAGATAGTGAAGGACAGGGAAGCCTGGCATGCTGCAGGCCATGGGGCCACAAAGAGTCAGATACAACTTAGTGATTGAACAACAATGTGTATATAATTGAATCACTTTATACTTGAAACATTGCAAGTCAACTATATCACAATTAAAAAGATAAAATTTATTAAATATTAATTTTATTAAAAATAAAGGCAGTAAGGGGGATTAGGAGTACAGGATGGGAGAAGATTGTATTTGAATAGAGTAGTCTGCTTAGGCCTTGTTGAAAGGTGATTTTTTTTTTTTTTTGAGGAGAAAAAATTATGAAGAAAGACTACAGATGCAAGAACATTTCTGGCAGATGGAACAACCAGTATAGTTCCTGAAGCAAGAATGTGCTCAAGATGTTCAAGGAGCAGCCTGAGGTTAAGGAGATATCTGGGGCAAAGCTATTATTGCTGAAATATGACACAGATAAGAATGTGAGGATCTAATCATCACTGTAAAGATTAACCCGAAAATGAGTCATCCCAGTGAAAATAATTTCAGAAAGTGAAAATGGCCAAAATTGGCTTTGGGTTAACTTCATCACTGTATGGCATTGAATGAGGAATTACATTGGCTGAAAATTCACTCCAGGGCAAACCTTCTCGATAGAAATTCATCCGAATTGGTGTAATTCTGATTTTAAACATTAATATTTGTAAACAGAGCCAATATATCTGTGGTAAATAGCATGGGAGTTCGAAGGGTGAATCCAGGGCCAGCCAGGGTCCAGGCAAGGCAGCCTGGAATCAGCCGTCATTGGAAGGGTTCATTCATTCACTTATTCATTCATTCCACAAAGGAAGGGTTCATTCATTCATTACACAAATATTTGCCAAGTGCCTACTGTGTGACAGGGGACACAGCAACAAACAAAACAGGTGAAAATTCTTGCCCTCTTGCAGCTGACTTCTAGTGCAGGAGACATATTAAATGTAAAGAACAAATAATAATTTGTGATAATAATTGCTAGATAAATCAATGAAATGTATAATATAATGATAAATGTTGACAAAAATTACTCAAGAAAGGACATAGGGAGTGTGTGTATGTGTGTGTGTGTGTGTGTAAATTTTAGCTAGAATGGCCATGGAAAAGGCCTCACTGAGAGGACATTTAAGAAAGACCTAAGGAA